AGGAGTTATGAGCACACAAATAGGTCTAAGAAACAAAACTGGCAGTCCGTTGTGGACTTAGCTTCCAATACAAGAGGAGGAACCGAAGATCAAGGCGTGCAAGCCTTCTGCTCTCTGACTATGGGCCCAGGCCATGCATTCACTCGTACACATACACCTTCCTTACCCAGGTACTAACGATCCCGACCGCCACATACCAACCTACACATCACAGCGATCGTCATCCCGCCAACTCAACTTCTACACCGACTTGCCCAAATCCCGCAGTCCGTCGCAGCCACCCAGCACACAACCTTGCAAAACTACAGTCAGCCCGTCAGGACTTTTAGACTCGCCGTACACACACATCATCTAGCCACGACTTCCTTGAAGCTGGCAGATGGGTTGAGAGAGTTTTTCGGATGCGCTTGCGGATTTTGTAGTTGCGAAGAGGGAGATAGAATATCGGCGGGAATGGGGTGGAGGTAGGAGGGGTTGAAGAGGGAGTTCGGGTTAATCGCCCGGGGAGAGCCATATCTCCCTGTGAGCTCCTTCGCAGCCAGTCAGATCACATCGTGAGGGGAGTATCCTCCTTACATGGCTCAAACACTTTGGGGGGGGGGGATCGGTAGGGAGTTCCTGTATGGGGATGCGAAGAGTAGTGTGGAGCGGGACCAAGATTCAGACGAAAACGGAGCGGGAGAGAAGCGTGAAGGGAGAGGGAATGGAAAACAGTTACAGATGGAGGAAAGAAGGCACGAAGAAGAGAGAGGTGAAGATGGCTTGGGGCATAGTGGAAAGGGGGGAAAGTTTGCATACATGGGGCCAACACAGAGACAAAAAGGCACAGAAAGGTGAAGATGGCTTGGGGCATAGGGAAAGATTCACTCTCGTTTTGCAGATTTGGGAGAGTCGTGGAGACAGGCTCAAAAACTCTTTGGGGGAGCAAGCCAACTATCTAAGGGCATGCTGACATCAGGACCTTTTTTTAACTTATTTCTGGACGGAAATGCAGCCAGATACCTCCAGGTTGGCACCAAGCGTGGGAGAGTGGTGGCCATAGACTCTGCTGTTACTCGATGGGGGGTGGGGAATCTAGATGGGAGGGGCAGGTACTTGCTAAATGCTTGGTCTTTGCGTTAGCCAGCCCCCTCAACCGGCGGGCCCACCCTACTCCCTGACCACCGGCGATCACGGCGGGGCCAACATGCATCGCCTTGATTGTGAGGGGTAGCTATTGCTTGCAGGGGTCCCCTTTATTGGCTTAGCAGTAGTGGTAGGTAGGTAGTGAGAGTGAGAGGTGAATTTGAGAGGAGATATAGCTCACTCTGAAAAAAGAAAATACTTAATAAAAAAAAAAAAAAAAAAAATATTGGGAGAGCGTCGAGTCGGTATCGGCAGTGGTGTCTGCATGGGTGATGTGGGCCGATGGTTGTGACGATTCGTGGCTGGCTGCTGACTGCTGGCCGCTGGCTGGCCAGTGAGCGGCGCAGTTGTCGCCACGTCAGCGTGGTCGGAGCAAAGCGCACCGTACGCGTGGCATGCAGACATATCGCCTCGGTCCACGACGCACCACACGCAAGACAAAAAAAAAGACGCTGCACCTTCCGATGTTCTAGCGGAAGATTCATTCTCATTTTGCACATTTGGTGAGTACTGGAGCCAAGCCCAGAGCCACGTCAAGATAAAGAAATAAGCTGCCCATCTAAGTAACGGGCAAGTTTGTTCCCTACTTTTCATACTTGGCCTCATACTCCGACGTCGCGCGCGGGTGATTGACCAAGCGCGGGTGATTGACTAAGCGCGGGAAATTGACTAAGCGCGGGAAATTCACCAAGCCGGGATGATTGAGTGATGGATTGATTGATTGATTGATTGATTGATTGCCGGTCGTGGTACGTTCAGCCGAGGACCGAAAGATCGTCCTTTTTTTTTCTTTCGGGGGTGGGGTGGGGGAGGGGAGAAGATCGTCCTTTGTTCTTCCCCTCCCAAGCTTAACCCCCACACCGGCTCCTCTTCTTGCCTTTTGTTTCTTTTGCGTTTTTTTTTTTTTTTTTTTTTTTTTTTTAAATGATCCACCTTGGCAAACAATCTTTCTTTTCGTGAAGTTTCGCGTCCATAATATTAGCAGCATTAACGGCAATTTTGGGGTGAAAAAAAAAAAAAAAAACCGGCAAAAAACTGTTAGCTTATAGTTCTGTTGGCCAGAGTTGTTGTTGTTGTTGTTGTTGTTGTTGTTCTTTTTTGGTGAAGAGATGTGAAAAGATCGTGACGATACAGTCACTAGACGTACACTCTCTCTAAGAGGATAACCATCCTCATTGCATCAGACGTCAATTGCGGCAAACACTCACGCAATCAGTTCAGTCCACTCTTCAGCGTGAGTATGCCCCCCCTTGAAGAAATCAGAAAAACAAAAAGAACTAAAATTAAGTCCTGGCGAATCAACCGATGACAAAACACCTTTCAGCTTCTCATCGCATTCTCTGAATTGACCATAGAACTCTTCTTATGTCCCTCCTAAGCTTTTGTTTCCTCCGAGAACATCCCCCCCGTCCCTCCTCCCAGAAATGAATAGATATTTCGCATGAACTCTTTCGCTTGTTCGCTAGCTCAGCCACGCGCGGAGGGTCAGGAAGTCGCCTCATCCAAGCCGTACGAGCGGTCGTAGGTCGGAGTCGTGATCGCATAACGTCAAAGAGAGAGAATCCTTCGACAGGTACACTAAGTCTTATCTATCTATCTGTCTATCTGTATTTATAGCTATCTATATGTATATATATCGTATATATATATATATCCACCTACATCCATGTATATCCAGATATAACTATCTATATCTATCTATCTATCTATCTATCTATCTATCTATCTATCTATCTATATCGTCACAAACAGAACTGCCCGGTAAACCGTAGGCAGAGAGAGAGAGAAAAGGACAACAAACGAGGGGCTGTGACAAACTGTTTCGTCGGAGTTTCACCGACTCATCAGGAGGCTGAACCCTCAACAGTCTGCAGAATCCCCTCACTGATTACACTGTAAACGATAATCTACCTTAACCAAATATATATGTCCCTCTCTGCCTACGGATATATATGTATATATTTATAGCTATCTATATCTATTTATATCTATCTGTATCTATCTATCTGCGTATGTGTCTATCCATCTATATATATATTGTCACACTGTGAATCAAAGCGCGAAGGCGAAAAAAAATAAAAATAAAAATAAAAATGATCTCTCTCTCTCTCTCTCTCTCTCTCTCTCTCTCTCTCTCTCTCTAGTCGGTGAAACTCCGACGAAACAGTTTGTCACAGCCCCTCGTTTGTTGTCTTCTTCTCTCTCTCTGCCTACGGTTTACCGGGCAGTTCTGTTTGTGACGATATATATATATATATAGTTTGTCACAGCCCCTCGTTTGTTGTCCTTTTCTCCCTCTCTGCCGACGGTTTACCGGGCAGTTCTGTTTGACGATATATATATATCCTATCCTTGAGAGTTTCGTATTACTAATGATGTACGACGGGCCAGATTGTACGCTTCAATGATTAAAAAAGATGTCTTTCTCTTTTTGTTTTAAATTTCCCTTTAATTGTCTGTCCGAAGTTTCCGTGTCTCCTTCTTAGCAATGAAAATAAAATAGAAACAATCGATGGCTTATCATTCTGGCAGCCATGCAATTAAAAAAAAAAAATCGATTGGGTTTGGAGTCGACACAAGTAACAAGTAGTGATACTGTGAATGATTTGACGAGCGAGTGGACGTCTGCATGCCCCGCATGCATTGATTGCACGGTTTGGGTGGGCTTAGGATTTGGGTTTGGTTTGGTTTTGGCTTGGGTTTGGTTCGGGCTTCGTTTGGGTTTGGGTTGGGTTTGGGTTGGGTGTGGGTTGGGTTTGGATTGAAAAACGGATTACATTGGATAAGATTGGACTGATGAGATGTGGGGACTTTGAAGTGGATTGGAATGCCAGACACACACACACACACACACGCACAACCATACAAAAAAAGAAAAAAGAAAAAAGAAAAAAGAAAAAAAAAAGGAAAAAAAAAAAGGAAAAAGAAAAAAGAAAAAAAACGCAAAAGTGGATTGTAATGGGTTTGAAGTGCATTCATATCGCCTTTGGCTTGCATGGAATTGAACCAACTGACTGGTCTGTCTATCGGACTCCCGATCGGATTGGAGAAAATTGGAGAAAATTGGATGTGGATAAAATTGGATAAATTTGGATAAAATTGGATAAAATTGGATAAGATAAGACACGTGTGTCGTTCAGCGTCACCTTCCCTCCAATTTAATAAAAAAATGGATAAGATTGGATAAGATTGCGACGATCATTGCCACCTTCACTCCCTCAACATCATTTCTTAGATCCTCTACTCCTCCTCCTCCTCCTCCTCCTCCCCCTCCTTCTCCTCCTCCTCCTCCTCCTCCTCCTCCTCCTTCTCCTCCTCCTCCTCCTCCTCATCATCATCATCATCATCATCATCATCATCATCATCATCATCGCCGCCTTCTCTCGCTCAACCGTCGTCTTTTTTTCTCGTTCTTTCACTACTCTCCCGACTAATCAAATGGGAATAATGTTGGAACCGATTGGATACCAGACAATCAATTACATGCATTGGGTTCAGCAAATCGCTGACCTTTCTGTGATCTTGCCCTTTTTTTTTTTCTTTTTTTTTTTTCTGTGTTATTTTTTTGATGTTGGTGACTCGCTTGCTAATAATCGGCCTGTGTGTTGTAGATTTTTTTTTAATTGCGTTTTCAATTTCTTTTAGGAAATTTGAAAAAATTAAAAGGTTATTAATTGGTGATATCTTCGCGTGTGTTTCTTATCTCGTGATTCTTCTCTGCCCATCAGGTTTCCTTTGGCCAAAAAAAAAAAGCCAAAAAAAAAAGGGGTCTTTTTGCGAATCTCTCTGAGTCGTTACTCGAATCGACCACTCTCAGATCAAGGGAACAAACGACAGGAGGACACGTGGCGCCATCAGAAAAGTCGCATCACCCGCGACGACTGATTGGAGGGCAGAGAAAGGCCTGATGATTGGTTGGAGGGGTAGGAGAAGGGGGAGAAGAGCGAGCACACGTGTCATGCACGAGATTCGATTTCAATTTGAGAGGAGGAGGGCGACAGATGAAGCTCTGACACGTGTGTCTCGAACACGACTTCCCGACAGTGCTGAGGTTAACGAGACATGATTGGGAATTTTTAAGACAGGACAGGATTTATTGAGAGGAGGGAGAGGGAGAGGAAGGGTGGGGGAGGAGAGAGAATACTTCTTTATTTATTTATTTATTTATTACTATTATTTTCGATGATTAATGATTTTGCCTTAACAATTCGTTGGGTGAGGGGTCGACGAGTGGTGAAGTCGACGGAATTGACCGATTTAGAAAGTTGACCGATTTAGAAAGTTAACCGATTTAGAAAGGGGTGACAGGTAGTTAACACGTTTTTCTTGTCTCGTAATAGTCAAGCTCGTTTTTTTGTTTTTTGTTTCGGTTTTGTTTTTGGCCGGGAAGATGGGAGAGATTCATTCAATGAGATAAGGACTGATCATTGACAATAAAAAGGTGAGCTAAAGCCGTTTTCTTTTCCTTGTTTTTTCCCTTCTTTTTTTGTTTTGTTTAATTTGTTGTGTCGGTCGGCCATGATGGCTTCCGCGTTTATATCCTCCGCTCACTGCTGCGCATCTTCCGCTGCGCCTCCTTGCGGCGCTAGCTTCTCATCTTCAACTTCTTCGTCTTCTTCCGTTTCCTCCAGGTCACCTCCCTCCTCCTCCTCCTGCTGCTGCTGTTGCTCTTCCTCCGCGTGCCTGCCTCTGTCATCTCGTCGCATCTCTGTCTCACGTTGCAGCCAATCATGGTGGCGACTGCGATGCTGTCATTCAACGGGTAACTCTGCAACTTCAGCCTCTCCCCCCTCTTCCTCCTCCTCCTCCTCCTCCTTCTCCTCCTGCTCTCTCTCTCTATCGTGGGACTCCCGCCGGCGCTCGACTGCTCTGCGCGCAGTTGCGCGGCCATTCCGTCGAGGAGATCATCTGGACGAGCGGTGGTCGTTGCGGCGTCGGGGCCATCGCGGGCGGAAGCGCCCCGCCGCAGCCGCAGCGACAGCCACTAGGAGCAGCTCGCCATCGGGGTCCCGATCTCGACCTCCCCGGTCGCTTGCTGAGGTAGACCAAGCCCCGACGGCTTGGAGCGACGAAGACGTCGACATGGCCCCCGCAGCGATCGTCGCTTCCACGTCGGGATCGCGACTCTCGCCTATCGACTCCGCGCTCGCAAAGATTACCCGAGAGAGGAAGCTTCTAGAACGTCGCTTGCTTTCCCAGCACCAAGGCGAGCAGCTGGTAGGACGGACTGGCTACGACGACAACGGAAATGGCAATAGCAGACCTGGTGTCCCAACATCATCATCACCATCGTTATCATCGTCATCGGTAGGATCCCGATCCCGATCGCGATCCACTTCTGTCGGAGAGACGGCGCGGATGCTCATGCTGCGGAGCCCGAGCGCCGGTAACGGCGCTGGCGCCGTCGTGCCCAGTCGCGGAGGTCGGAATCCCAATGGGGTTCTGGATGGCAATACCGGAAGGGTGAACGGGAGCGGTGTACCGATTATGACTTCGACCGGTGTGGGGAATGGCAGACGGGGAGAGAGAGAGAGGGAGAGGGAGGTGGTCGTGGACGTTGGGCTGGCGTCGAGGACGGCGGCTGACGGACGTGGTGCCAGAGGTAGTAACGGTTACGCTAACGGTAACGGAGGGATGATCGCCGATGTGACGGCGAAGTCGATCTTGGAAGCAGAGAAGATGGAAGAAAACGAGAGGGGTGATGCTGATGATGATGAAGAGCGTGTGATGCAGACAGACGAGTCGTTCCGATGGGCGAATGAGAACTATAATCAGCTGCTGAGATCGGTCGATGTTTGGTCCTTCGTCTTAACGTTGCGTGCATGGATCTGGTTCATCGATGCCAAGTGGACGTACGCTGGTGGATTCACGGAAGCCAAGCAGGTCAGCCCCTTCAACTAACTTGCGCCTACTCCTCTCTCTCTCTCTCTCTCTCTCTCTCTCTCTCTCTCTCTTCCCCCCTCAC